TTTATTTGTAAAAAAATATTGTTAAGTCGTGGTAAAAAAATAAAGTTTTAAAATTCATGCTTTAAGATTTTTGGTAATGTAAGAATATTTTATTACTAAATTTATTATTAAATTTACTTAGTCATATGTAATGAAAAAAAAATTATCAACATCGGTCAATATTTGTAAATTTTACAAGGTCCAAAAAGAATTTACCCTCATATTCATGAACTATGACACATTACTTTGTATTTTAAACAAAATTTTTTGTTTAGTTCCACTTTTTTCCATAATATATGTATGTATGTATGTATGTATGTATGTATGTATGTATGTATGTATGTATGTATGTATGTATGTATGTATGTATGTATGTATGTATGTATGTATGTATGTATGTATGTATGTATGTATGTATGTATGTATGTATGTATGTATGTATGTATGTATGTATGTATGTATGTATGTATGTATGTATGTATGTATGTATGTATGTATGTATAAGAAAAATATATAACACAATGAAACTTAATTTTTAAAAAATCGACACTAAAATTAATGGGTTGCTAACTTTCAGCGTTAATGATAGCAATAAAACACAGTAGTTGTTTGTACCACCTTAATATATTAATTATAATTTGTAGCGATTTTTTGCACAACTTTGCGGGTTCTATTGAAAGAAAATTAGTAACACTGTTTTGTATTTACCTAAAAAAGTAACGAGTGTGATTTGGACCAATCAAAAACGTTTGCGTGTGAAGAAGCAGAAAAACAAAACAAAAACCTACAGCGTTGTAAAACTATGTACTTCAGGTTAAATAATTTTTATGAATATTTATTAAAAAAAACATTTTTACACAAATTATATTTTTTAAAAATGAATTATAATATAATTATATAGGACAAGACGTAAAATGTTTAAAAATGTGTATATACAATATATTTTTTATCTTTTAAAAATTTAGTACATTTTTGAGCAACTGTGTGTATTTGCTTTGCACAAATTCATAAAGAGACGTTTGTATTGCATTTCTTCTCATTTATTTACTGAACGCGAAACGGAATAAACGTAGAATTTAAGTTGCAAATTTTTCACACAAAAATTAAGAACTGCATTTTAAGCAGACGTGGCCTATAAAAGAAATTGTTTAATTAACATTAAAATTAAATAATTTGTTTTAGTTTAATATAAACAAAATGAAGTATTTGTTGTTACTGGGGTTGTTATTATTTGCGGGTAAGTTTTCTCTTTTTTGTAATAAATACATAGTTTTATTTTTAATACGCCCCTTTAAATGCCGGCTAAATAATTTCTTTTATTAATTAATTTTAGAAATTAAAAATATTAATTTATTTTTTAATTATTGTTAGGTTTTACGCAAATTAAAGCCGAAAATGACAAAGAAGAAACTGCCACTGAAAAAATTGACTTAGATTTGGGTTCATTCAAAGAAGGTTCTAGAACCGGTAAGTGTGAAATTATGAAAAAATCCACATCATTCCCTTTGCTTTTTCTAATGCCACCAACAAAACACTAATATCGCTCGTATCTGGTTTTTTGACTTGTGTAATTGTTTTTGTTTACCACGTCAATGATTATTTACGATAAGATTTAATATTTATTTTCTTTTCCACGCCATATGTAATTACATACTAAGTACCTACCGTTCTTTTTTACTGATACAATTTGGTTTCTGGTTTTTGGTTACAGATTCCGATGCCATTCAACGTGAGGAAGAAGCCATTAAATTGGATGGTCTTAATGTGGCACAAATGAAAGAAATTCGTGAAAAGGTTTGTATCATATAAAAGTGAATGTTAATTTTATTTAATTTATTTATTGATTATGTTCAAAATTAGGTCAACTTGTAGATTACTTTCATTTTTTTGTAGTAATATTATGATGCTTTATTAAAAATAAGGGTGGGTGGCTCTATTTTATATTATACAACTTATTGGTTGTTTAATAGGTATTTGTCAGTTATTTGAATTTAAACAATAAGATTGGGTAATTTTAATATTTTAAAGAATAATTGTGAAAAATATGTTCTCTTCGTGCTAATAACAAATCATTAATAGTAGGAACAGGAATAATCTAGAATTTTAAAATTTTATCTTATGTTAATCTTCTTTGCTGTTAAGTTCTGGTCAAAACTGTTTACTTTTTTAAGAAAATTTAATATTATTACTGATTTTCTTTATTAAGTTTTTTATCATCTTTTTGTACTTGGCAATTCTTGTCGAAGTACATCCCTTCTTGTCCATATTCTGAAATTATACACAGAATTTTTCCCAATTTAAGGAGTTTTTCTAATATTTTCCTTTTTTTAATAATCTTGCAGGCCGAAAAATTCGCTTTCCAAACTGAAGTTAATCGTATGATGAAACTCATCATTAACTCCTTGTATCGCAATAAGGAAATTTTCTTGCGTGAATTGATTTCCAATGCTTCTGATGCCATTGATAAGATTCGTCTGTTAGCGTTGACAAACAGAAATGAATTGGAAAGCAATCCTGAGCTTAATATACGCATTAAGGCTGACAAGGAAAACAAAGTGTTACACATTATGGACTCTGGTATTGGTATGACCCATCAGGATTTAATCAATAATTTGGGTACAATTGCCAAATCTGGTACAGCTGACTTTTTGGCAAAAATGCAAGATCCCACAAAATCAGATGGACAAGATATGAATGATATGATTGGTCAGTTTGGTGTTGGTTTCTATTCAGCTTTCTTGGTTGCCGATCGCGTTGTTGTCACTACCAAGCACAACAATGACAAACAATACATTTGGGAATCTGATGCTAACAGTTTTAGCATTGTTGAAGATCCTCGTGGTGATACATTGAAACGTGGCTCCATCATTTCCTTGTACTTGAAGAACGAAGCTCAGGACTTTTTGGAAGAGGATACATTACGTGAATTGATTCGTAAATATTCGCAATTCATCAACTTCCCCATTATGTTGTGGTCTAGCAAGACTGTTGACGAAGAAGTACCAATTGAAGAGGAGAAACCCGTCACTGAAAAGTCCTCAGATGATGAGATTGTCGATGAAGAAGAAGACGTTAAAGTTGAGGAAGACACCAATGAAGATGACAAACCCAAGACCAAGAAGGTATCGAAGACTGTATGGGACTGGATGTTGATTAACGACAGCAAACCCATCTGGACCCGTAAACCCAACGAAGTAGAACAAAAAGAATACGATGAATTCTACAAGAGTTTAACCAAAGACTCCAGCGAACCCTTAATACACACCCATTTCATTGCTGAAGGTGAAGTTACTTTCAAGAGTTTGTTGTATATTCCCAAAGTACAGCCATCAGAATCTTTCAATCGTTATGGTACCAAAGCCGATAATATCAAATTATTCGTCCGTCGTGTTTTCATTACTGACGAATTCAACGACATGATGCCCAACTACTTGAATTTCATTCGTGGTATTGTCGATTCGGATGATTTACCTTTGAATGTTTCACGTGAAACCTTGCAACAACACAAATTAATTAAGGTCATTAAGAAAAAATTGATTCGCAAGGTCTTGGACATGATCAAGAAGATTGATAAGGAAGCCTATGAGAAATTCTGGAAGGAATACTCCACAAATATTAAACTCGGTATCATGGAAGATCCCAGCAACCGTTCTCGCCTCGCTAAACTTTTGCGCTTCCAGTCATCGAATGGCAAAGGTATCACCTCTTTGGCCGAATATGTAGAGCGTATGAAGCCCAAACAAGAAAACATCTACTTCATTGCTGGTGCCAACCGTGCTGAAGTTGAGAAATCTCCCTTCGTTGAACGTTTGTTGGCCAAGGGTTATGAAGTTTTGTATCTCGTTGAAGCTGTTGATGAATACTGCATTTCTGCTTTGCCCGAATTCGATGGCAAGAAATTCCAAAATGTTGCCAAAGAAGGCTTCAAGCTCAACGAATCGGAAAAGAGCAAAAATAAATTTGAAGAGTTGAAGGCCACCTTTGAACCTTTGGTTAAGTGGTTGAATGAAGTTGCCTTGAAGGATAAGATTTTGCGCGCTCAAGTATCTGAACGTTTGAGCAATTCTCCCTGCGCTTTGGTCGCTGGTATGTTCGGCTGGACCGGCAACATGGAACGTTTGGCCATGTCAAATGCCCATCAAAAATCTGATGATCCTCAACGTACCTACTACTTGAATCAAAAGAAGACTCTCGAAATCAATCCCAGACATCCATTGATGCGTGAATTGTTGAGACGTGTTGAGGCCGATGAAGCTGATGAGAGCGCCAAGGAAATGGCTTTAATGATGTTCCGTACCGCCACTTTGCGTTCTGGTTTCATGTTACAAGAGACCTCTGATTTCGCAGACACCATCGAAAAAATGATGCGTCAAACATTGGGAGTCTCTTTAGATGAACAAGTCGAGTGGGATGAAGATGATGACGATGACACCACAGCTGATTCCAACGAGGAAAACACATCATCGTCTAACGATAACGAAGAGGATGAAGACACACAACACGATGAACTTTAAAAATAATGATCTGCCTGTCGAATGAAGGACAGATGCATATTTGTATATAATTAGTAATCATTTTGTGTGTTAGACTGAATTTAGTTTCGTTTGCAAACATTCGTAAAGAAAGAGTTTTTTTCTTTCTTTTATTTGTCCATCCAAAAGAAAAAATCGCAATCACTATATATTATTTAAACTATTCTTAAACTTGCAGTTACGATTTTTTGTACTGTTCCATTATAAGTTAGCATTTCTTGTAAATTTTTTTTATAATTTAATTTATTTAAAGACACAATCAATAAAACGTCACTTTTCTTTAAACACTTTTTATTTTTGTTAAAGAGATGTCGTGATTGTTGTATAAAAAACAAAAATTATCATCAAATTATTAATAAACAAATTACTATTTTCTATGAAAGTTTTGTTATTATTTTTATTTATTGGAAATAACCCCGAAGGCAGTTAGTCCTCATTCTCCATTTTTTTTTTTAATTTTTAATTTCGCACACTATCAGTAATCTATATACAATCTCCCTCTTTTCTTCTGTCTTTAAAGGCATCACAAAGGGACGTATAGGACCACGATTTATTCTACTTGAATCGAAAATCTTATAGTTTACATTTTAGAAAAAAAATTTATTTCAAAAATAAAAGTACATATTAAAATGATTTAATCAAAGCTCAGCTTTAATATATTATTTGAATTTAAAAACAAAGTAAACTGCGTGTGGAATAAATACTCACATCACATGTTTGTTCTTTTCTAATCGAACATAAAGGAGTTATCATTCTGTTCTTCCATATGTAAACGAAATTCTTCTTGTGCTTTGATTTGATGCATCGCCTCTTGACGATTAAATTTAAATTTTTCCATATACACACGTATTACCCATTCAGGCAGAAGAGCATTGGCGAATAATGTGGCTTGCTGAAGAAAATTGAGAAGAAATTATATTATTTTAAGAAAAATTTTAATCTTGCTTACAGTTGAGCTCTTTGTATTACTATAAACATCTGTTAATTTCTCCAGCATTTTCATTTGGATATTTTGTGGCAGTAGTCTTATTACAAAACAATGGTTTATGCCCTCGTGACCTTTAATATAATCTCTTTTGTAATTATTTTTATAGATTTCATCTAATTCTGTCTGGTATATTGAAAACGTATTCAATATTTCTTCCGCAGGTACATCTTGTAGAGATCTAATATAAATAAGTAGAGATTACATAAATGGCAATGTGATGTAAAGAAAGTTCATATTTACTTAAATTCTACTTCTTTTGGTGGTGAAGTACGCATTTTATCCAATTCTGCTTTAAGTATTGCATTTTCTTTCTGTGTTAATTTTGTTTTATTTCTTATCAACTCCATTTCTTCCTTAGAAGGCAATTCGAAAGATGGTGTTGGTGTTACCGTTTTTGCATGTGTTTCCGCATCAACTTCATTCTTTTCCGTTTTTTCTTTTTTTGTAGTTTTTAGCGGTCGACTTTTTGATGATGATGACTTTGATGTTGATGCTTTTTTTTCCTCAATGTCTGATGATGATTTTTTCTTGCCTAACCAGTTGCCCATCGCTCGTTTTTCCTGCTCACATTCACTACTTTTATCTCTTTTGCGTTTCTTTTTCGTTGATGAGGACGATGAGGATGAAGCACTCTTAACGGATTTCTTGCTAACAGGGGTTTCGAATATTGATGATTTGACTTTGTTGTCGCTGTTAGTTTTAGTGCTGTTCTTCTCAAAATAATTCTCCTCGTCATCGTCGTCTGTGCCAAATAGTTCTTTGTTTTTAGGTGAAGTTTTGGCTGTTTTAGGTTTCTTACTTTTAAGTAGATTAGGCTGTTCTTCTATAAATCGAATTGGTTTGCTTGGTGATCGTTCCGAACGCCGTAGGGATTTATTAACATCAGGGCTAATTTCTTTTGGTTTTCTTACTCTCTTTCTTACTTTGCATGGAGATGTGTCTGTGTTCGATTCCGTAGCAGATGAAATCGATATATTCAAACTACTTGTATTGTCATTGGCTTGCGATAATTTTGTTTTTTTCTCTAACTTATTGTGGTCTTCGAATTCATCATCACTGACTTTTTCTGCAGTTTTCAAAACTTTTTTAGCTTCAACAAGTGCCTCCAAAAATTCATCTTCACTCGATGATGAGGTACTTCTTCTTACGTGCTTCTTTTCCAAGTTCGTAACTTTTTCCTTTGTTGAAGAAATATTTTCTTTCACATCTTTTTTCTTTTCTTTTGCTTTATGCGTCGTACTTTTATCAGAGGAATCCAATTTCTTATATGGCTTTTCTTTTCTTTCTTCCGATTTATGAGACGCACTTTTATCAGTTGGATCTAATTTCTTATGTGCCTTTTCTTTGATATCTTCTGATTTGTGAGACTTGTGTTTATCTGTCGAATCTGACGTTGTATATGGCTTTTCTTTGATAACCTCTGATTTGTGAGACTTGTGTTTATCTGTTGATTGTAATTTTTTACGTGACTTTTCTTTACTCTCATCTGTCAAGTTCTTTAATTTTGATTTCTCAATATTCTCGGACAGTCCAACTGGAATTTCATCGATAGTCTTGGAACGTTTTTTTAATATTTTATTGTCATAATGACTATGTCTATCCCTGCTACTTGAACGTTCTTTTTTGCTTTTATGCTTTTCCTTAGAATTATTATCCAGTAGTTCTGGTAAAGTATCTAAAGTCTTAGTTCTTTTTCGATGTTTCTTAATATCGTAATCTGTTTCAGTAACTTTTCGATCTGAAGATTCCTCCTCTATTCTATGCACAGGCAAACCGGTGACTGGAATTTCCTTACTTTTCGATGTATATTCAGTCTCTAGTCTTTTCGATTTCTTGAATCTACTTTTTTTCGGAGAATCAATTTCATCTCCAGTTTCAATAATAACCTCATCCGAACTTTGGCAATTTTCAGTCGGTTCTGATGTATTATTGGATATTATTTCACTTAATTGTGGTTGTTCACTTTCGGATGTTTCAAGTGTGTTTCGTTTTGGTGAATTGCTGTTTTCATTATATTCAAGAAAATCTATTCCAGGGGTTTTAACGGTATCAATGTTATCCGCCCGATATCTTTTATTAGATGGCGTATATGGTTCATATGATAATGGAATGCTTAAAATATCGGTTGTTGTTTCAATTAGTGGTTGTCCTTCTAATTGGTGGGTTACATCAACTGGGGTCTAAAAATACATTGGAAACGAAAATAGTTTAATTTGGTAGAGATATATATATATGTATCTACACGCTAAGTTCCTCCTAAAACGATGCGATGTCACATAATTTCTGAAGTATGTAGTTGTATAAAGTGAAAATTTTTCTTATGGATTTCAACCTTCCTTAGAAGAATTAAATAATAATTTTGTCTATTCGTCATAAAAAATGAAGAAAAACATGATATCTTTTTCTAAGATATTCAAGGATAAAGGACATTTTCCACCAGGACTTAACGTAATTTTAATGAAATGTCAAAAAAGAGTAATCGAAGTCCTGTCGAACGAAACATAATTTGTTAAAATCGGATAACTTGTTCCAAAGTTATTCAGTCATCAACATTTCTAATTTTGAACAAAAATACCCGACATGCCCTACTTTAGAGATCCATAACATATGAACCGAATAAGTTAAGGATTTATGCGTCATGGAAACTGCATTAAGGAGTACAATATATGATCCTGATTTGAAGAAAATCGAAGGGGACGAAAATTTAAAACAGCTTTTTTGGTCGATTTATTTTGGATCGATTTCACCTAGCTCAAATACAAGTGGACCCCATGAATATGGCTAGAAATTTTAAATATGTTGATGAAATTTTGCACAAGTTAGTTCATGTACCCAGAAATTATATTTTAAACTAGACTTCAGAAATTGATTTAACCTTCACAACTGACTGAAAAAACAGTATAATGATAAAATTTTTGATATATCGAAAATGAATTAAAATATAATATAACAGAGGGTATATCTTTACATTAAAGTCGAAAGATTAGACTTTAAGATGACATAACAGATTTTTTGAACAAAGTTTACTTGACGCTGTTATAACGTCTCGAATATTGCCAAAAACTTGTTTTTTTTCAAACTGATGACATGATATCTCGAAAAGCTGATGTGATGAATAAATTCTTAAGGTAGATTGGGATTCAGCGCTGCTCAATCTTAACATAGTTATGTATTTTGTTCTATGGGTTAAAAATTTGTTAGTCTGTGTTATTATACACTTTGTTTCAATTTCTTAAATTATTATTTTGCTTTATGAAAATGTTGTTATTGATAATACGTTATTTGACAAAAATAAATAATCCGAGTAGAACAAGAAAATGTTTTTGAAATTTGCCAAACACCTCCAAAATCTTGAGTTACGGATTAAAAACCGGCTTTCGTAACTTTAAGCACTTATAACTCAGTAACTTAGTTGAATCTGAATCATAAAATATAACTTATGTAAATAACTCTTATATAAACATAAATCCTTCCTCCAAATTTTTTGAGAATCGGCCAATATTTAGCCCTATCCCCAATATAAAGCATCTCTCGGAAAATCTGTTTTGGAAATATTTTGTATTAAGAAAAAGATCAATAACGTCGTCAATTGCTAACGGATTTTTAAAAACAAAGTCGCGTTTTACTCATGAATAAACGTGGGTTTCTAATCAGTTAATATATAGTACGGTTCCTAAAATACTTTCAAAAACATCTCCAAACTTGGATAACAGTGCAAAACTAAAATAAAAAATATATTTGCTGATGAAATACATACATATCTCTCCAGGTTACTTAAAGGTTATATATGTCATTATAAAGGCATTAGCTTCTGCTTTCTACATCCGCAGATAAACTTAAAATCGGTTCAGATTCAACTAAGTTACTGACTTATAAGTACTTAAAGGTACGAAAAACCGGTGTTTTGCCCGTAACTCAAGATTTTGGAGGTGTTTGGCAAATTTCAAAAACATATTCTAGTTCTACTCGGATCCACCTTTCAAAAAAATAGTATCACTTCCAAGGTATTTCAATTTTCGTTTATTTTGTCTCACTGTGTAATCAATCAAAAAGTCGATTTTTGTTTTGTTGTTTTGCATTTCTGGTGACGATATATTAACGGAAAATGTGTTCTTAAAATGTTTTTAGAATAGTATTATTTTGTATAAGAATATCCGGGATACTTCGAATAAAACCACAGAAATATGTGTCTAATAAATTTAAATTGTCTATAAAATGTTGATATTATTTTTTTTATATTTTCATTTAAATTTTATTTTTTGGTTAGAGCTGCGGAGGCTTCTAGTACACGCTACACAGAAAAAATTAATTTTAAAAAATTTTCAATTAAACGATTAATCAAAAGTTTTAAAAGGGTTCAATTCATTTTATATTTGATTGATAAAAATGTATAATCAAATACGTATTTAACAACAACAAAAATAGAAAAATATAAAAATTTTGTGTACGAAATCAATTATAAGTAGTAATCGAATATACAATTTTTGTTATAGGTTGAACTTCAAAAAATAAAATAATTGAAAACGAGGTTTTGGTAATTGAAATCGTTTTTCAGTTTTTTCTGTGTAGTAGATCACTCAGGATTTAAAATTTTATGATTTTAAGTTCAATATTATAGAAAATTCAAAAAGTAACATTTGAACAACATATTTTAATTATTAACACAAGATCAACATGTTAAATTTTATGTTTATAGGTTAAATATCATAGAAAATTCAAAAACTACCATATGAGGAAAGAAAAGTTATCAAGATGTAAGAGGGAAATTCTCATTCAATCAGGACCAAGTACGTCAAAAATTCTTGTATATATATTAATATTGTTAAAATTCAATAAAAGCGATTAAATAAAGTTAAATAAATTCTTCCTTAGTGGAAAGTGCAATAAAAAGTGTATAATTTTTTCTTTTTCGAGAATTTAATTAAAATATGCGTTTAATTGCCTAAAAAAATTATCCTTTTAATAAAGTACCAAACATGCCTCAGTACCCCAATATCAAAATAAAACTTTAATAGATTAATTTTTAAATTTTATAAATTTTTTTTTACAAGTTTTATAAAAATTGGTTAAATAAGTTTTAATAAAGCAACAAAGAAACAAAAAAAGCTAACTAAATTACAGTACCGTTTACTTAATAAAAGGACGGAATTTAAAAAAAGTTGATAGACAGATAGATAGATAGATAGATAGATAGATAGATAGATAGATAGATAGATAGATAGATAGATAGATAGATAGATAGATAGATAGATAGATAGATAGATAGATAGATAGATAGATAGATAGATAGATAGATAGATAGATAGATAGATAGATAGATAGATAGATAGATAGATAGATAGATAGATAGATAGATAGATAGATTTTGATTCCTATTTTAAATTGCATTCAATTAATAACATGTTGTGAACCACTTGCAAATTAAAAGAAACAAATGTTTTTTCGAATTACATCAAGGCAACGTTAATCGACTCATTTCTGTAATACTTATAACAGTAAAACATTAAACTTAACACGTTGACGTAAATGACGGCTATAGACGTCGTAGATGCAAATTTCTCAAAAAATAAGTGTGAACGTCGAGTTAGCGAAAATTTCATTTCTTACCTATAAAATTATTATAAATAGTGACATACTTACGTTTTGGAAATTCAGTACACACTCTAAAACATAACTGGCTTCTATAATATCCTCTACAACACCGCCATCACCTAGTTCATCTTTCTCGCAATCATCATTTGCACCCAAACATTTGTAAAAATGTTTTAATGATAATTTTGATTTTTGCACCTTAACCTCAATGTGGGGCTTTATCTTAAAATCAAGGCACTTCTCATCGTTCCACTCATCGTTGGCTGTAATAAGTTTCTCTAGTTCTCTATCGAATGTATTCCATTGTTCTTGTCCTAAACATCTACAAGTGTTATTTTTAAATTTGCGGCTTTTCGAAGATGTCACTTTAATTTGACACAATACTTTTTTGTTATTGTGCTGCAATTAAAAATGGAATGTATGGATTTGCCAGAAAACCATTTACAAACTACTTACCGTGTAAAAATCCAAAATTGTTTCACAATTTAAATTCATCTTTGTTCTGGATAATTAATATTAACTACATTTGCATTGATTCAAAATAAAATTTTGTTAAACAATTCGATGCACTTGCTAAAAACAAAAAGATAAATAAAGTTTTACGTTTGTTTATTGTTTACTACAGCTGTTTTTGTTATCGAAAGTGTTGTGGTTGTAGCGAGTAATAAATTTCATACTAAGTATTTGGTGGTATGTATTTGGAAAAACTCACCACAAATAAATGAAAGTACAATAAGGTTTTCTAAATTCTCGACGTTTTTTGATTCCCAGGAATAGCGAATACATTCCCAATGTAATAAAAAAATCTTTTAAAACGCGTTTCGGTGATGCTTTATTGAATTATTTAACAAAAATAAAATATAAGTTAAATATGTACATATGTATGTATATTAGGGATTGGCATTTTTGCAGATTTGAGAATTGAATTCGAATAGAGAATTAAATATATGAAAAACCACGGTATGTATTATTATTTTGCGGTTTTTAAAAAAGTTCACGCATCAAATGCAATAATGTTTTTCATTGCATACAGGTATTCTAGAATCTAGATTATTTTGGAAAAGTATACATATTTTATTCATTCGTTATAAACCTTTCGTAATAATTTTTTATATTATTAAATAAAACTACAAAATCTATATACATATGTATGTATAGAAAAATTAAAGTGTGTTTGTATGTATGTATGTATGTATGTATGTATGTATGTATGTATGTATGTATGTATGTATGTATGTATGTATGTATGTATGTATGTATGTATGTATGTATGTATGTATGTATGTATGTATGTATGTATGTATGTATGTATGTATGTATGTATGTATGTATGTATGTATGTATGTATGTATGTATGTATGTATGTATGTATGTATGTATGTATGTATGTATGTATGTATGTATGTATGTATGTATGTATGTATGTATGTATGTATGTATGTATGTATGTATGTATGTATGTATGTATGTATGTATGTATGTATGTATGTATGTATGTATGTATGTATGTATGTATGTATGTATGTATGTATGTATGTATGTATGTATGTATGTATGTATGTATGTATGTATGTATGTATGTATGTATGTATGTATGTATGTATGTATGTATGTATGTATGTATGTATGTATGTATGTATGTATGTATGTATGCATGTATGTATGTATGTATGTATGTATGTATGTATGTATGTATGTATGTATGTATGTACAGTGTCTCACATAAGTATTCGAATTTGGTTGTACTTTGAAAAGAAACACAATTTAATAATATTTTTTGTGTGTGAAATGAATAATTAAATTTGTTATATTGTCTAGAGAGTCCTATGGTATAATATCACACTCTTTAAAATTTGGAAAAATTACATTTACCTCAATTGGTTTGACTTAAAAAAAAAAATCCATAAAATTGCCTCACAAAGTATTCGAATTTTTCCTGTATTTCATATATGACCATATTATACGAAACACAAAAATTATAATCGAGTGTTTTTTTGCTTAAAATTGTGTTAAGGGGTTACTATCGACCGAAATTATATATTTTTGGCCCATTTGTTCCACAATTTTGGAGCATTTGTACCATCTTTTCATGTAATATCATTAAAATGGTGATTTTTGACCATATTTGCATTTTTTCCCTTTTTTTCAGAAATAAACCCAAACTTTAATATTGGGATTTAATAGACCCCTTGTGGCATCTAAAAATAATAATTTTTGTTATAAGGATCTGTACTTAAATGTTCAAGATTTATTTTTGGTATCGTTCTTCTATTTGTAATTGAATTGTATGGATCTTAAGTCCCTTTTTGTACCACTAGGGTCGATATTTTCCGACAAAGTTGGCTAGTATACATTCATTTACATATTAGCACTAGTATATTTTAAATTTTCAATACATTATATCGGTATACAATTCCAAAACATGTCTTTACAAAACGTCATCCTATACAGTAGATTTCAGTTTTTACTATTCGCAACTTTCACGCTTATGTTGCCCTTTACAATAACACTGTAAGTCCAAAATTTTGGGTTTATTTTGATCATAGTAATCAATATTTAAACAGATATCGATATTTTTGAGTTAGACCATAATGATATAGTGGCATGCAGCCTGGAGGTCATTGGTATATAAAAATAATGATACTACCATATTGAATGGTGTTTCTTCGAGGCACGTTTTGGAGTTGTACACTTCCACAATACATTGAAAACTTAAAATATATAAAATCTGATATCTAAAAGAATATATACAAGAAAACTTCCCCGAAAATTTTTGACCCTAGTATTATGAAAATGGACTTAAGTTCCAATATATTGAATTATCGACAGAATAATGATATCAATAATATATCTTGGTTCGTTTAAATACAGATTCTTGTAACAAAAAATACTATTTTTAGATACTCCAAGGGATCTATTAAATCCCAATATCAAATTTTGGTTTTACTCTGGAAAAAAAAAAGAGAAAATACTACAAATATTGCCAAAAATCGCTATTTTAATGATATTTCATAAAAAGAGGGTACAAATCCCCAAAAAATGTGGACCAAATGGGCCAAAAATATATCATTTCGGTTGAAAGTAACCCCTTAAAACAATTTAAAGCATAAAAACCATTCGATTCTAAAATTTGTGTTTCGTATAATATGCTCAAATATGAAATACAGGAAAAATTCTATATACTTTTGTGAGACAATTTTATGGACTTTTTTAAAAAAAGCTAATTTAATTTAAGTAAATGTAAATTTTTCAAGTTTTAAAAAGCGTGAAACACAATTTAATAATATTTTTTGTGTGTGAAATGAATAATTAAATTTGTTATATTGTCTAGAGAGTCCTATGGTATAATATCACACTCTTTAAAATTTGGAAAAATTACATTTACCTCAATTGGTTTGACTTTAAAAAAAAAAAATCCATAAAATTGCCTCACAAAAGTATTCGAATTTTTCCTGTATTTCATATATGACCATATTATACGAAACACAAAAATTATAATCGAGTGTTTTTTTGCTTAAAATTGTGTTAAGGGGTTACTATCGACCGAAATTATATATTTTTGGCCCATTTGTTCCACAATTTTGGAGCATTTGTACCATCTTTTCATGTAATATCATTAAAATGGTGATTTTTGACCATATTTGCATTTTTTCCCTTTTTTTCAGAAATAAACCCAAACTTTAATATTGGGATTTAATAGACCCCTTGTGGCATCTAAAAATAATAATTTTTGTTATAAGGATCTGTACTTAAATGTTCAAGATTTATTTTTGGTATCGTTCTTCTATTTGTAATTGAATTGTATGGATCTTAAGTCCCTTTTTGTACCACTAGGGTCGATATTTTCCGACAAAGTTGGCTAGTATACATTCATTTACATATTAGCACTAGTATATTTCAAATTTTCAATACATTATATCGGTATACAATTCCAAAACATGTCTTTACAAAACGTCATCCTATACAGTAGATTTCAGTTTTTACTATTCGCAACTTTCACGCTTATGTTGCCCTTTACAATAACACTGTAAGTCCAAAATTTTGGGTTTATTTTGATCATAGTAATCAATATTTAAACAGATATCGATATTTTTGAGTTAGACCATAATGATATAGTGGCATGCAGCCTGGAGGTCATTGGTATATAAAAATAATGATACTACCATATTGAATGGTGTTTCTTCGAGGCACGTTTTGGAGTTGTACACTTCCACAATACATTGAAAACTTAAAATATATAAAATCTGATATCTAAAAGAATATATACAAGAAAACTTCCCCGAAAATTTTTGACCCTAGTATTATGAAAATGGACTTAAGTTCCAATATATTGAATTATCGACAGAATAATGATATCAATAATATATCTTGGTTCGTTTAAATACAGATTCTTGTAACAAAAAATACTATTTTTAGATACTCCAAGGGATCTATTAAATCCCAATATCAAATTTTGGTTTTACTCTGGAAAAAAAAAGAGAAAATACTACAAATATTGCCAAAAATCGCTATTTTAATGATATTTCATAAAAAGAGGGTACAAATCCCCAAAAAATGTGGACCAAATGGGCCAAAAATATATCATTTCGGTTGAAAGTAACCCCTTAAAACAATTTAAAGCATAAAAACCATTCGATTCTAAATTTGTGTTTCGTATAATATGCTCAAATATGAAATACAGGAAAAATTCTATATACTTTTGTGAGACAATTTTATGGACTTTTTTAAAAAAAGCTAATTTAATTTAAGTAAATGTAAATTTTTCAAGTTTTAAAAAGCGTGATATCAAACCTAAGGACTGTCTAGACAATATAACAAATTAATTTATTTTTTTGCACACAATATATATTATTAAATTTGGTTTCTTTTCATAGTTTACCTAAATTCGAATACTTATGAGAGACACTGTATGTATGTATGTATGTATGTATGTATGTATGTATGTATGTATGTATGTATGTATGTATGTATGTAGTATGTATGTATGTTATGTATGTATGTATGTATGTATGTATGTATGTATGTATGTATGTATGTATGTATGTATGTATGTATGTATGTATGTATGTATGTATGTATGTATGTATGTATGTATGTATGTATGTATGTATGTATGTATGTATGTATGTATGTATGTATGTATGTATGTATGTATGTATGTATGTATGTATGTATGTATGTATGTATGTATGTATGTATGTATGTATGTATGTATGTATGTATGTATGTATGTATGTATGTATGTATGTATGTATGTATGTAGTATGTATGTATGTATGTATGTATGTATGTATGTATGTATGTATGTATGTATGTATGTATGTATGTATGTATGTATGTATGTATGTATGTATGTATGTATGTATGTATGTATGTAGTATGTATGTATGTATGTATGTATGTATGTATGTATGTATGTATGTATGTATGTATGTATGTATGTATGTATGTATGTATGTATGTATGTATGTATGTATGTATGTATGTATGTATGTATGTATGTATGTATGTATGTATGTATGTATGTATGTATGTATGTATGTATGTATGTATGTATGTATGTATGTATGTATGTATGTATGTATGTATGTATGTATGTATGTATGTATGTATGTATGTATGTATGTATGTATGTATGTATGTATGTATGTATGTATGTATGTATGTATGTATGTATGTATGTATGTATGTATGTATGTATGTATGTATGTATGTATGTATGTATGTATTTATGTATGTTTGTTTGTGCTTTATAGACTGCTAAACGGCTGGACCGATTTTCCTGAAATTTTCACAGTTTCTTCATGTATGACTGGAAGGAACTATAGGCTACTTTTTATGTTGAAATTTCATGTGGGCGACGTGCCACGCCCACATTAAGTAAATATTAAATTAGTATATCTGAGATAATATAATAGTTAGTCTTCAAATTTTGTCGGAGCAACTTTAGTATCAATATAATTATTTAAGACAAAAAGTGGGCGGATTAGTATTAGGGGGCGTGGCACCTCCCATATAAGTTAAATACAAAAATTCGTTTATCTTGGAAACTATTATAGTTAGAATATTAAAAATTTGCACGAGTAACTTTAACATCCATGTAAACATTTTGGAAAAAAATATATTGGCGGACTACCCATGAGGGGAGCAGCACCTCCCATATTAATAAAATACAAAAATTGGTTTATCTGGGAAACTAATCGAACTAAATTCTTCAAATTTTGCACTAAGAAGAGAGCGGACTTTCGTCATGGGGAGCTTGGAGCCCCCATATAAATTAAATAGGAAAATTATTATATCTGAGAAACTATTAGAGCTAGAATCTTCAAATTTTAATTGAAGAACTTTGACATTCATGTGAACATTCAGAGAATAACGGGCGGACTTTCAATGGGGGGCTTGGCACCTCACATATGAATTAAATACAAAATTTCGCTTATCTGGAAAACCAATAGAACAAGATTCTTCAAATATTGCAAGAAGAACTTTATTATACATATGAACATTTTGGAGAAAAAAAGGGCGGACTTTCATCTGGGAGCTGTGAGTTCCCATATGAATTAAATAGAAAAATTCGTATATCTGAGAAACTATTAGAGCTAGAATCTTCAAATTCTACATGAAGATCTTTGACATTAATCTGAACATTTAGAGAATAACGGGCGGACTTTCAATGGGGTCTTGGCACCCCCTATATGAATTAAATACAAAATTTCATATATCTAAGGAAAATATTAGATATTTTTTTTAATTTGTCATCGATTACATTAAAATCTTAATCAACGTTCGGAAAAAATGCATCTCTGGAAAACATTACAGTTAGAAAATTATTAAGAAGATTTTTTATTTATATTGCTTTTAGGGTAGCAAAGCACACTGGGTACAGCTAGTTTTTTATAAAATCTAAGAAAAAGTATAATATAATACATGAACTATTTTCATAAAAAATTAAAAATTCGTGTGGATGATAATTTGTTAACTAAAATTAGAAAAAAACGAACAAAAATTTTTGCATAAATTAGCATTTCGTAAATTTTACATTTATTCAAAATTTACATTTTACAATTTATGTAAATTAATTTTTCTAAGATTATTTTGCGTTATACTAAAATATTTCGTACAATTTCGTATATATTACGAAACAATTTCGTGATGCGAAACAACGAAAGATTCCTATAATGTACGACATTTTTCGTATAGATTAGGCATGGATTATTTTCAGTGCACATGTGGATATAAATACAAATTAAGTTTTTGCTGTATAAAATTTATATCGAAAAACATAAAGGATTTATATAATCTGCCAATATTTCTCTTATTTTCTATATATAACTTTTTAAAGTAAAAAACTTTAATAAATTTTATTATACATTATCAGGTACGCGAACAACTATTGTTTTCGAAATGATCATCGTCATCTTCGTCGTCAGTGCCAAAAAGCTCTTTGTTTTTAGGTGAAGTTTTCTGTTTTTTAGACTTATTGCTTTTTAATAGACTTTGTTGTTCTTCTAATAATCTTATTGGCTTGCTAGGTGGTCGCTCGGAACGCCTTAAAGATTTTCTAATGTCAGGGCTGTTTTCTTGTTTTCTTTCTCTTTTCAACACTTTTGTTGGTGTCGTATCTTCCGTGACAGATACATCACTTGCAGTTTTAGCTATTTTAACGCTGCTTTCAAATTTATCAGCATTTTCTTCTGTAAATATTTTTGAAGACTTTTTAGAAGTTTTATTAGGTCTTAGTTCTTCATCTTTACAAGGTGGAGAGGTTTTTATTGTACTTCTTTCTGTTGTCCTTTCATTCTTGGCTTTTTGCGGAGTTTTATTTGTTATTGGAGAAGTTTTATTTGTATAGCGTTTACTTTCTCTTGCTTTGTCTGGAGTAGTTTTATCTGTAGAATTTCCTTTCTTTTCTTCCAGCAGGTTCTTTGATACTTGATTTTCGTTATTTGCATATAATCCATTTGGCATTTCATCAATAGTTTTAGAACGCTTTCTTAAATGTTTGCTTTCATCAAGATTAAGTTTATCCTTACTAATTGTATGTACATCATGGTTTTTAGAATTTTCCTTACAATGTTCATTATGTAGCTGTCCTGGAAATTCATCTATTGTATTGGAACGTTTTTTATGTTTTCTTGAGCGGTGATCGCTTTTAATAACTTTTGGCTGCCAAGTATTATCTGCTATGGCAGTTGGAACATAAACAGGGATATCGATTTCACATGTTGAAGAGTCAGTAGTTTCAGGTATTTTTTCCAACATATTGGTTTTTTCTTTTATCTTATAAATATTTTGCTTTAAAGTAGTTTTCTGCTCCTTTGAGTTAGTAATCTCTGACAAGTTTTTAATCTTTTCGCTATTAACAGCAAATCCAGCAGGCATTTCATCAATAGTCTTCGAACGCTTTTTAAAATTTTTTTCTTCATAATGATAACGTGTTTTGTTGCTGTTAATGTATTCATTTATTGTTTTATGTTTTTCGTTGGTGTTTTTATCAAGTTGAAGTCCTGGAAACTCATCTATTGTCTTGGATCTTTTTCTATGTTTCTTAATGTTATATTCGCTTTTGAAACTTGTTCGTTGTGCAGTCTCTCCTATAGGTGTTGGTATATAAACTGGAACATCGACTACAGCATACTCTTGACTCTTCGGTATGTATTCACATTCAGCTTTTTTTGATTTCTTCTTCAATTTTGATCGTAAAGATTCGATTTTCTCTCCCGTTTCAACGATAATTTTATCTAGAAGATCTTGAGATTTCTTCAATTCAGTTGAAGTGGGGGATTTTTTTATAGGTGCTGGCGTATATTTTGGTATTTTATCAATTAATAATGCTTCACCTCCCACAATTGGAAAGATGGGTTTTGGCGAGTATGTATCCTCATGACATTCAAGTAAATCGATTCTTTGTGTTTTAATTGTATCAATATTATCTGCCCGATATTTTTTCTTAGATGGTGTATATGGTTCGTATGACAAAGGGCTGCTTAATTTTTCTGGTGTAGTTTCAATTTGTGGTTCGTATTCTTCTGACTCGAGTGATGTGTCAAGTGGAACCTAAAATCGCGTTGACAAGAAAATTAAAATTCATTAATTACATTTTGACTAAAATCGTTTTTCAATGTGAGCGGGTTTACGTCGACATAGACAAATCGACTATATATTATTTATTGGGTCTCAGATGAATATTTCCCAATATTGCAAAGAACTTAATTAACAGATTAATTATAAAACCTTCAAGTAAACATATGGATACTCCACTTATAGTACTTTAAGAATAAAAGCTATAAAATATCTTCTTAATACACTTACTTCAAGCTGAAAATCAATCAGACACTCCAAAATGTAAGTCTCTTCTAGACCATCCGTAAATTCTTTCTCAAAATCTTCAATCGCTCCCAAACATTTGTAAAAATCTTTAATTGTTAATTTTGATTTTTGCACCTTAACCTCAATGCAGGAATTTAACTTAAATTTAAGGCACTTCTCATCGTTCCAGTCATCGTTTGTGATAATAAGTTTCTCCAGTTCTTTATCGAAAGTATTCCATTGTTTTTGGCTAAAACATCTACAGGTTTTATTTAATTTAAGGTTTGTCGAAGGTGTCACTTTTATTTGACACAATATTTTTTTGTTTTTATGCTGAAATCAACAAGTGGACATATATTACAATGGGTATTTTTATACTATTTTACTGAATCAACTTACTGTGTAAAAATCGAAAATTGTTTCAATATTTAAATTCATCTTTGTAAGCGTTTAATTTCTAAAAAAATACATTTGTCCTATTTCTTAGTAAAACCTTTTTAATATGAGAAGAAACTATCAATTTGGCAGTTCGGTTTGTTTACTGTTTACAGCTGGCAGCTGCTTTTGTTATCAATAGTGTTGTGATTGAGACAAGCTAATATTAGAAGTTGTGTTTTGAGTAGTCGGTATTACAAATTCACCACATTTTTAAATAGTTATAACGGAAATATTTTCCCTACAAAAACAGTGATAGTCATTAGATCGATTATTTGACCGACACTACATTAATTGATTCACTTTGTATGAAAAGCAAAATTGTGTTTTGGTTTAAAATAACTATTTTGATTCTAGTGATGGCCGTTCGTGAACTGGACCGGTTTCAAAATGCATTGTTGAAAAAATATATAATCGAATTAGCAAAATATTTTTGTAATCATTAACATACATATATTATGTATATATGGGTTATAGGGTCAATTATAGACCGATTGTCGTAAAATTAGTTTGAAAGATTTCGGTTCGTATAACACTTATTCTTTTCCAATTTCATCGCTGTACTTGTATTTTTAATTTAGTCATAAGCGTAAAGATAATTTTCTAAAAAGGGACTTTATATGCGAGTGGGGTCAATTATGAATCGATGCTCATAGTTTTAAATATGAGGGGTAGGTTCAATTATGTACCGATCGTCATAAAATTTTGTAGAGCGATTTTTGTTCATATAAAACTTGTTTATGTCGATATTCATGGTTGTGCTGTATTTTTAAGCCAGTAATTAGCTTTAAAGTTATTTTCTGATGTAGACATTAAGGGCCAATCTTTAGGTGAAAGATTAGCGATTAAATTAAAATTAATCCTCGAAAGATGTTTTTGAGTACTCAATTAGTTAATTTTGTTTGCAAGTTTAAGCGCCCAATGGAGGTGGTTTAATCTTAAGCACGAAATGCAAAAGTGAAAACAGCTGATGCAAAAAAATTAATAAAATTTTTATAAATATAAACATTAAAATGTTCTATTTATTGATTAGTATAAATTATGGACACTTCAAAATACATTTTTTTGTTTTTAATTTAAGTTTTCATTCATTTTCATATTAAATTTACAATTGTCTTCTTCTTTTTTTATAAAATATGCATTGTTTTGATAACAAACAGTGAAGTTTTCTGTTGTTTTGTATGGCAACACTGCGAAGTTTAATCTTGTACTGAAAAACATCAAAGGGGATTAACATAAGATTAAATTTATTTTTAGATTAACTAATCTGATTATTAATTGGCATTTGATTACCATCTCAAAAACCCGCTCTAAATGAGGGGTAGGGTTAATTATGGAATTTGATAGAAAGTCTTTGCCTCGTAAAAAACTTATTTATGTCAAATTTCGAATTACGCTATACTTGTATTTTTAAGCCCGTAATGTGTCATTTTCTTAAGTGGACCTTAAATGAGGGGTAGGTCAATTATTGACCGATCCTCATAATATTTTGTAGAACGATTTTGGTTCATATACAACTTGTTTATAAAGAATATAATCGCTGTACTCACATTTTATGCCTGTAATTAGCATTCCACATGAATTTCGGTAGGAAAATTTACGTTCCTATAAAAGTAGCTTATTTCAAATTTCATAATTGACTCGTATTTTAAGCCGGTAATGAGCGTTATAGTAATTTTCTGAAGTGTTATAGAAAATTTGTGGGTCGATATTGCCCATTTTCAATATCAAACAAACTGTAGAAAATATTTGTGCAAAATTTCAGCTCCCTAGCTCTTTCCGTTCGAACTCTATCGTGCTTTCAACAGACAGAGGGACGGAAATGGCTAGATCATCTTAGAATTTACAAACGGAATGACAAAATCAATATACCTCCATCTTTTTTGATGGTAGGTATAAACAAGAGAACAGCAATTAATACATTTTGAGTATATTCGAAATAGTAACTGTATGCAGTAATGGATTTAAGCCCTGAGACGGTCATTACGAGTATTTTTACACAATCTTCTAACATGTTAACAAGTCATCAATATTAAGATAAACTAGACATTTTCGCTAATTTAAAGGTTGAACCCACCAAAGTCGTACAGGCACATCCGATGATTGTGTATAACCTTCCAATGTATCCAGTATACATTGATGACGTGTCCTATAACCGCTTTTGGCCAGTTCGCCTGAAGTAAAGAGCGCCTTGTTGATCCTATCCTCTATGTGGTGTCTCCATTTTAATTTCCGGTCGAGGATTACACCTAAGTACTTAACTTTGTCTGTCACTGGTATCTTCTTGCCCAGGAAGCAAGGTTCAGTATACGTAGAAATTTTTGTCTTTCTTGTGAAAAGACAGATTTCCGTTTTTGCCGGGTTAACATTGAGGCCTCTCGGTTGAGCCCAGCTCAAGGCTGTATTCAGAGCCACCTCAGCTCTTCTACACAAGTAATTTGGATCCTTTCCCTTTAAAAGTATTACGACATCGTCTGCATAGCAGACAGGTCTAAGTCCTTTCTCAGTTAGGGTCCTTAGGAGGCTATTAATCGTGGTAACCCTGAGTAAAGGTGACAAAATGCCACCCTGTGGTATACCGCGAAATACCTTTTTCCTGATAGTTATATCGTACATCTCGCAGCTTATCCATCATGTGGTTGATCCAGTTACGGAGCACCCGGTTAACATAAAACTGGTCTAGGGATTGGATAAGAGTATCAGTGTGCACGTTATTGAAGGCGCCTTCAATGTCAATGTATACCGCCAGTGTATATAGTTTGCTATCGAATGATTCAACTATGTAGTGGAAAACTTCGTTTAAAGCAGTTTCCACCGATCGTGCCTTTACATAAGCACGCTGCTTATATTTAAGCTCTTTGTCTGGTATACTGCTTTTAACCATACTATAGACTATCCGTTCCAAGGTTTTAAGTAGGAAGGATGTAAGACTTATCGGTCGATAGGACTTAGGCGTCGCATAGCTAGGTTTCCCTGGTTTGGGTATAAATATTACCCTTGCACCCTGCCATTTAACTGGCGTTTATGTTAATATCAGGCATGCAGTGAATATCTGTGACAGATGTACGGAAACCGGTCCCGCCTCCATTTGCAAAAGTGCCGGGAAAATTCCATTCGGCCCTGCAGCTTTATATAGAGAAAAGATCTTAATTGCCTCTTTAACCATGTCAGATGTAAGAAATAAGAGTGCTATATTCAGCTATGCCGAATTTTAAATACCCCATTTAACTATCTAATTTTTAGGCAACTTGGCAAAATTTTTGTTTCCGTATTGAGAGTACTAATATTTATGCTTATGTCGAACTAATTTTGATTAGGTCCAGAAAAATTTATATTAATAGGCCAGTTGGAAAACATTTTAATAGAATGATTTATCTATACATAGAACATACTCATGTCGAAATTTCCGGATATAATCTTCTAATAACGAATTAAGTGGTGTTAAGTGATTTACAGAAGTAAACCTTATATGGGAGCTAATACAACTTATGGTCCGATCCGGAAAAAAATTCCGCAGAATGATTTATATACACAAAATACACATTTATGTCAAATTTCATTCCGATTATTAATGTGCATTTAAGTCAATGTACATTTAAGTAATTTTCGGAAATGGTCCTTATATGGGAGTTTGACCAATTATGGATCGATAAGGAAAAAATTTCGTATAAATATGCAAAAAAAAAAATCAAGTCGAATTTTACTCCAATAGATTTATTAATTAATGTAATATGTGCGTTTAAGTGATTTTCGGAAGTGGACTTTATATAGGAGTCTATCCGGAAAAATTTCGTAGAATGATTCATATGTACACAAAACATATTTGTGTTGATTTTTACCAAGATATCTTTATTTGATAATGAAATGTGTGCGTTTAAGTGATTTTTGAAGTGGCTCTTATATAGAAATTATATAAATATGGACCGATCCGGAAAAAATTTGGTAGAATGATTTATATGCTCACAAAACATATTCAAGTCATACTTTATCCCGATAGCTTTATTATTCAAAGAAACATATGCGTTTCAGTGATTTTCGTAAGTGGACTTAAATGGGAGTTTATCCGGAAAAAATTTCGTAGAGTGATTCATATAAAGACAAAACATATTTGTGTCGAATTTTATCCAGATAACTTTATTTGACAATGAAATATGTGCGTTTAAGTTATATTCGGAAGTGGGCCATATATGTGAGCTATGACCAATAATGGACCGATCCGGGAAAAAAGTGGTAGAGTGATTTATATGTACACGAAACATATTCAAGTCGAATTTTATCCCTATAGCTTTAGAATTCAATGAAATATATGCGTTTAAGTGATTTTCGGAAGTGGACCTTATATGGGAGCTATCACCAATTATGGGCCAATCCAGAAAAAATTTCATAGAGTGATTCATACTTAGACAAAACATATTTGTCTCGATTATCAAGATTGCTTTATTAGACAATGAATATGTGCTTTTAAGTGATTTTCGGAAGCGGGCCTTATATGGGAGCTATGACGAATAATGGACCGATCCTTAAATTTGGTAGAATGATTTGTATGTACACAAAAGATATTCAACTCGAATTTTAACACAATAGCTTTATTTATCAATGAAATACGTGCGTTTACGGGATTTTCGAAAGTGGACCTTATATGGGAGCTATGACCAATTGTGGACCGACTGAGATCTACGTTGATAGTATGATTTCTGTTTATATTATATTCGCATGTACAAAATTTTGTGTTGATACCGATATATTTGAGGGAGTTATTAACAATAAACTAATTTCCGGGAATATATACCTTTGCATGGGGGCTATGGGAAAATTTGGATCGATTATTTTGATATTCAACATAATTGATCCCTGGGTAAAAAATAATGTGTGACAAAATTTATCGAATTATCTTTTGTAGTTTCTGAGAAAACTTCAAAAGAATTAGGAAAAAAACTTAATTTTTTTCGAGGTAGTCTGAAATTTTTACTCATAACTTTTTACATTGTGAACCGATTTTGCTGATTTTTAATACCAAACTGCTTAGGACAACAATGAATATTTTTGGTGAATTTGGTTTATTTCTTTTGCTTAGTTTTAACGTGAGCGTGTTTTAGGCAGACAGACAGACGGACATAGCTAAATCGACTCAG